CTCACTTATTCATTACTGCGTCCTCAGAGCCAGCAACTCTGCCGGGGACATAGGATTTGTTCAGAAGTATTTGTGGAATGAGTGAATGGGTGTTCAGATTTGCATGTTAGAAATAGCAGGAATGGCCAGGCACAGTAGCTCACGTCTATAATCCCAGAGCTTTGGGAGGTCGAGGCGGGTGGACTACCTGAGGTCAGGAGTTTGAGACCAGCCTGGCCAACATGGTGAAACGTCATCTCCACTAAAAATACAAAAAATAGGCCAGGCGTGGTGGCTCACGCCTATAATCCAAGCACTTTGGAGGCCAAGGCGGGTGGATCACCTGAGGTCAGGAGTTCAAGACCAGCCTGACCAACATGGTGAAACCCTGTCTTTTAAAAAAAAGAAAAAAAAAATAGGCCGGGCATGGTGGCACGCACCTAAAATCCCAGCTACTCAAGAGGCTGAGGCAGGAGAATTGCTTGAACCTGGGAGGCGAAAGTTGCAGTGAGTCAAAATCGCGCCACTACACTCCAGCCTGGGCAACAGAGCAAGACTCTGTCTCAAAACAAAAACAAAAAATAAAAGCAAAAAGCAAAAGTTAACGGCATAGTGGAGTGCGCCTGTAGTCCCAGCTACTTGGGAGGCTGAGGCAGGAAGATCTCTTGAGCCCAGGAGATCAAGGCTGTGCTCCAGTCTGAGCTTGAGTTACCGAGTAAGACCCCGTCTCAAAAGAAAAAAAAAAAAAAAAAAAAAAGCAGGAGGGATTGGAGAGGGCAAGGAGGCAGGCTGGCCAGTGAGGAGGCTGGCGGGCCAGGTGCTGAGCTGGGGTGGGAAGGAAGCAGCTGCTGCCTGGGAGCAGCCTAGCTGAGGCGTAAAGAAGGAGGCCATCAGGCTGGGCAGTGAAGGAAAAGGATGGGAGACTGGGGGACAGAACAGCCAGGCAGCAGTGTCCCTAGGTCGGATGCCAGGCTCAATGCAAGACAGACTGACTTGCAGGCCTACCTCCTGCTGTGCACAGGGCCAGGTCTGCTCCCCCCGTAGCCCCGCCCCTAGCCTGAGGCCGGTTTTATTGAACTTGTTAGAAAGGGTTACAGAGATCACAAGGGCTCTTTTTCTTTTTCCCTCCCTCCCGCCTTCCCTTCCTCCTTCTTTCTTTTTTTCTTCCTTCCTTCTTTTCTCTTTTCCTTTTTTCTCTCTTCTCTTCCCCTTCCTTCCTTCCCTCCCTTTTTCTCTTTCTTTCTCTCCTCCCTCCCTCCCTCTCTTCCTTCCCTCCCTCCCTCTCTCTCTTTCTCTCTCTCTTTTTTTTTATATAAGAGACGGGATTTCACCATGTTGGCCAGAATGGTCTTGAACTCCTGCCTCAGCCTACCAAGTAGCTGGGATCACAGGCACCCGTCACCACACCTGGCTAATTTTTTGCATTTTTAGTAGATATGGGGTTTCACCACGTTGGTCAGGCTGGTCTCAAACTCCTGACCTCAAGTGATCCACCTGTCTCGACCTCCCAAAGTGCTGGGATAACGGGTCTGAGCCACCACACCTGGCCAATCACCAGGGCTTCTGGGAACAGCTTCTGTAGATCAGAAACAGAGCCATTGGCCAGGTGCCCCTTCTAGTTTTGGGAATAAGAAACTGGAAAAGCAGCTGGAGCAGCTCCAGCTCTGGGGACTGGTTCAAGGACACCTGTGTCATGCCCAATCAGCTACACTGTCATTGGAGGTGGACCAGGGTTCTTAACTGAAGGGACGCTAAAGGCCTTCAGAGTATCTGTGAGATAGAGCCCAGGTTACAAGCCACACTGTGGGCATGCACACATTCTTCCAGGAGGCGGGTTCTCAGCCTTCATCAGATTCTCAAAGAACACCTGATTCAAAACAAGCTTAAAATCCACCACCCTAAGAGAGAAGAAGGAGAAGAAGGGCCAGGTGCACTGGCTCATGTGTGTAATCCCAGCACTTTGGGAGGCCGAGGCGGGCAGATCACCTGAGGTCAGGAGTTTGAGACCAGCCTGACCAACATGGTGAAACCCTGTCTCTACTAAAAATACAAAATCAGCTGAGTGTGGTGGTGCATGCCTGTAATCCCAGCTACTCAGGAGGCTGAGGCAGGAGAATCGCTTGAAGCCGGACGGTGGAGGTTGTGGTGAGCCGAGATCACACCACTTTACCCCAGCCTGAGCAACAAGAGCAAAACCCTGTCTAAAACAAAAAAAAGGAGGAGGGGGAGGTGAGAGGCAAGAAAGTAATTTCAGCACTTTGGGAGGATCGCTTGAGTTCGATACCAGCCTAGGCAACATGGTGAAACCTGGTCTCTACCAAAAAATACAAAATTAGGCCGGGCGCGGTGGCTCACGCCTGTAATCCCAGCACTTTGGGAGGCCGAGGCGGGTGGATCACGAAGTCAAGAGATCGAGACCATCCTGGTCAACATGGTGAAACCCCGTCTCTACCAAAAATACAAAACATTAGCTGGGCATGGTGGCGCATGCCTGTAATCCCAGCTGCTCAGGAGGCTGAGGCAAGAGAATTGCCTGAACCCTGGAGGCGGAGGTTGCGGTGAGCCGAGATCGCGCCATTGCACTCCAGCCTGGGTAAAAAGAGCGAAACTCTATCTCAAAAAAAAAAAAAAAAAATACAAAATTAGTGGTGGTGCACACCTGTAGTCCCAACTACTTGGGAGGCTGAGGTGGGAGGATTGTTTGAGCCCAGGAGGTTGAGGCTGCAGTGAATGGAGATCATGCCACTGAACTCCAGCCTTGGCAACTGAGTGAGACGGAGTCTCCAAAAATTTTTTTTTTTTTTGAGATGGAGTCTCGCTCTGTCACCCAGGCTGGAGTGCAGTGGCATGATCTTGGCTCACTGCAATCTGCACCTACTAGGTTCAAGCGATTCTTCTGCCTCAGCCTCCTGAGTAGCTGCAATTACAGGTACCCACCATTATGCCCAGTTAATTTTTTTGTAGTTTTAGTAGAGACGGGGTTTCACCATGTTAGCCATGCTGTTCTCAAGCTCCTGATCTCCAGTGATCTGCCCACCTCGGCCTCCCAAAGTGCTAGGATTACAGGTGTGAGCCACCGCGCCTGGCCCCCCAAAATTTTATTTATTTATTGTTATTTATTTGAGACGGAGTCTCACTCTGTTGCCCAGGCTGGAGTGCAGTAGTACAATCTCAATTCACTGCAACCTCCACCTCCTGGGCTCAGGTGATTCTCCTGTTTCAGCTTCCCGAGTAGCTGGGATTAGAGGTGTGTGCCACCATACCCGGCTGATTTTTGTATTTTTAGTAGAGATGGGGTTTCACCATGTTGGTCAGGCTGGTCTCAAACTCCTGACTTTGTGATCTGCCCACCTTGGCTTCCCAAAGTGCTGGGGTTACAGGCGTGAGCCACTGCACCTGGCCCCAATTTTTTTTGAGGCAGTTTTGCTCTTGTTGCCCAGGCTGGAGTGCAGTGGCGTCATCTCGGCTCACTGCAACCTCCGCCTCCCAGGTTCAAGCGATTCTCCTGCCTCAGTCTCCCAAGTAGCTGGGATTACAGGCATGTGCCATCACGACCGGCTAATTTTGTATTTTTTAGGTAGAGACAGGGTTTCACCATGTTGATCAGGCTGGTCTTGAACTCCTGATCTCAAGTGACCCACCTGCCTTGGCGTCCCAAAGTGCTGGGATTACAGGCATGAGCCACTGCACCCAGCAACATGTTAAAATAAATACATACATAATACATACATAGGAAATCCACTCCTCTAAGGTCTCCTGCTAGTACCTAGCCAGAGGCAGGCACAGTGTTTTCCCTAAGTGGCCACTTTTTTATGTGTGTGAAGGAGTCACTGTGTCGCCCAGTCTGGAGTGCAGTGGCACAATCTCGTCTCACTGCAACCTCTGCCTCCCAGGTTCAAGTGATTCTTGTGCCTCAGCCTCCCAAGTAGCTGAGGGACTACAGGCGCCTGCCACCACACCCAGCTGATTTCTTTTTTTTTTTTTTTTTTT